AAAAAAAATAATTGTGGCTTAAAAATATTAAAAGTACATTTACGTTCTTATTACCCTTTAAAAAAATAAAAATAAAGCAGCTCCATACTCAGGCAGACAGCAGCTGACAGCATCAGTAATGAACCTGCCTCATTTTAATTACAAAGGACAATAGATTAGTTGCATCATCAGCAACAAATTGACCAATTTTCCCCTCATTTGACAGGACATTGTCTGTGCTGCCGTCATCTACTTTAAAATGAACACTTTCTTTTTTCCAATTCAATTATTGTTTGCACGGGTCAGGCACACAACTCGAATGTTTCAGATACTCACACATTCATTTGTTTCAGTCAGTACTCTTCTGATGATTCGTTTAAATCAATGCCTGTATTTCTAATTCAAAGTAAAATATACAAAACATCAGGCGACAGTTTTTAAATTTGATTCTAAAGAATTAAATAAATAAATAAATAAAGAGATATAAATTGGTCAGAATTATTGATTATTCCTTCACATGTTCAGAGACCCTGTTCGGTGTGATTAAATCAGTTACCTGGTTAACTGACGAATCCTGCTTCGGGTGATAACCGTAGATGAAGTGTAGGTTTGGAAAGGCTTACGTTTCACTCATACATTTGGTCTGGAAATCAAAGCAAACTTTCCACTGAATAGCTGAATAATTTATTTACTTATTTATCAGTTTATTTAAGTATCACCGATGAACAAGTGGTCACGTTTTGCAACACTCTTTGAGCCAAGTAGTTTTAACCACTTTACCCTTTAATTTATCATATTAGATTTGTGTCAAGCATAGCTTTTCTTTATTCAACCTTTTGAAGCATGGTGTCACCTGTCATTTGTAAAACTGTGCTTTCAAAGTAGTTTCCTCAACCCTTGATAACTTGGATTACTGTGAAGGTAGCATTAATGCTCAACAATATACATCCATTAGCCACTTCATTAGATTTACCTCGCTAGTGGCATTCAGATCTGCCTTAATACTGGCATATATTCAACGAGGTGCTGGAAACATTCCTCAGAGATTTTCTCAATATGAACCTGACAGCATCATGCATTTGCTGCAGATTCATGGGCTCCACATCCATGAATCTCCTGTTTCACCACAGCGTTCTGTTGATTTGACAGACAGTGTGCTATCCTGCTAGAAGCAGCCATCAGAAGATAAATACACTGTGGTGATAAAGGGATGCAAATGGTCAAAAATAATAGTAATGTAGGCTCTGGCATTTAAACAATGCTCAGTTAGTGCTGTGCAAAGAGAATATTCCTGCGATACAGGCAGGATGGGACCATACCTTCATGTTGCTATGGCAATATCTGACCGGACCATCCGATTGTCTTAATGAGCCTGTGCGAGACTCAGTTTTCTGTTGGCAACCAGTGTGGTTTTCTACTGCTCTAGAACATCTGCTTCAAGGCTCAAGTTGTTGTGCGCTGAGAGATGTTCTTCTCCATATCTTGGTTATAACAAGTGCTATTTGAGTTACTATCTGGCTATTCTCCGTTGACTTCTGCATCAACAAGGCATTTTCACCCAGTGAACTGCCTCCCACTAGATATTTTGTCCTTTCTATGTGAACTGTACAGATGTTTATGAAGGTAGGTAGGGCAACAGTTTCTGAAACACTCAGGCCAGCCCATCTGAAACTGTCTTCCCCATTCGGATAGTCAGTTTGAAAGTCTCTAGGTCATCATGATCAGGTCTACATACCTACATTCACTGAGTTTCTGCCATGTGATTGGCTAATTGGCTGCTACAGTATGTGCGGCCAAACACATTTTGGAGCAAATTATGTTGCCATCCAAAGGAAGGCCTTTTTTTTTGGTTTTTAAAGAAACAGCCTTCCTGGTTTCAGTCAGAATATTGCCAAACCAAATTTGCCAATATTCTGATTGCATGTCTCCATATTTAAAATGTTAAACTGGCTAGCTTACAAGTCCAGATACGCCATCGATTGAAAAAGTTTGTCATGGTGTGACACTAAAATTCAAAGAAGGGCTTAAACTGTCGGGAGACAGACACTATCTCTACTTTTAAGATTAGGCTTCAAACTTTCCTTTTTGCTAAAGCATATAGTTAGTGCTGGACCAGGTGACCCTGAATCCTCCCTTAGTTATGCTGCAATAGCCGTAGGCTGCCGGGGGATTCCCATGATGCACTGAGTTTTTCCTTTCCAGTCACCTTTCTCGCTCACTATGTGTTAACAGACCTCTCTGCATTGAATCATATCTGTTATTAATCTCTGTCTCTCTTCCACAGCATGTCTTTATCCTGTCTTCCTTCTCTCACCCCAACCAATCACAGCAGATGGCCCCGCCCCTCCCTGAGCCTGGTTCTGCCGGAGGTTTCTTCCTGTTAAAAGGGAGTTTTTCCTTCCCACTGTCGCCAAAGTGCTGCTCATAGGGGGTCATATGATTGTTGAGTTTTTCTCTGTATCTATGAAGCGCCTTGAGGCGACATTTGTTGTGATTTGGCGCTATATAAATAAAATTGAATTGAATTGAACTGTTGAAAAGTTTTCTATATCAAACAAAATGGTAAAACTATCACTTTCAAAGCCAAAGAAGCTGGCCTCCTTAGTTCTCAAACTGTTTTGTTAAATGAAAACATGATACCACACAGCAGTAAACATGTTCTTAAACCAACTTTTTTTGAAAGTTTGTATGTGCCTGACATTAAATTCAAAATTTGATTATTTTTCTAAATTAGGAACTTTTTAGTGTTAGCACTCAATATACAGTCTTTGAAGTACTTTCAAGTAAAGACTGTAAACATTGTTGCCCATGTGACAGTAAGTGTAACTTTCACTAAGAAAAAAGTGTGTACACTTTTTTAAATGAAAGACCTGTCACTTGAATGGAAGACATGAGCTAACGACATTAAAGGATTTCTAATTTAAGGTTCAGTCTGTCATCAACATGACGTCCTAACCTGACTTGGCCCTTTCTAACAAGGTTAATCCACTCACTGTTTGTCTGCTTTATCTAAGCGCTATCTGTGAACTGGATTTTAGAAATGACCTTTATATAAAAAGATTTCTTTGTTTTTTACCACCACAATGTGTAAGCCCATTTCACTATTACTCGCTCAAAAATAAAACTAATGTGAGGGGACTTGCCTCAACAATTGGGTAGTAGCAATAGCTCCAGTACCAGAAGCTCTTGGAGAACTTGCCAGTAAGATGGTGCTCTGGCACAAACGGGTGAAAAGTTTCTCGTTGCAAAGTGTCTCTGGAATCTCCTGCCAGAACACCCATCTTCTCCAAACACTGACCGAGAGCTAGGTCTTCCACAGGGGTCGTGTGTGTGCAAACCTTGGTTCGAAAGCCTTCCACAAATCTTTTGAGGGCTTCTTTACTGAGTACATAACCTGCTCCCCCACTCATGTAGCCTTGTTTGGTATAAGGTTTGAAGCGCTTGCCAAAATAGATTGGTTCTTCGGAGGAGTGGTTGGACAGAATCCAGCGCAGGTTGTCCACTACCACATAGGTGTCATCATCCGCTTTTAAGAACCAGTCTGCTTCATTCCCGTGGTGTTCGTAGACGTAATGGAACGCTCGAATGGTCTTCCAGTAGAGCTGGTCACGGCCCTCCTTTGTCCCCAGGCCCACAGTGGGGAAGTCGGGGTCGTCCACAGAGCTCATGAACACGACGATGTTGCAGTGCCGACTCCAGGTAGCCCTGACATGTTGGGCCCTGCTCTGCAGGTTATACGGCCCCGTCATCACCCAACAGAGAACGCGTACTTTCTGATACAACATATCTGCCACCTGGCTGTCTTCACCTGGAGGGACACACGACAGTATATAGCAGTGTTAACTGGTATGCATTTGTCATTCTACAAGCCACACCACACTCTACTTAACACATTTGGATACATATGCAGTTAGTTCCCTTCTACATTCTTTCAGCTGTCATTATTTTGGCCATGCCAATTGGAAGTAGCATGAAAGCAATAGTGGAAAAATTCCATATGTGCATCACAGTCCAAAGCAGAAGAGGTATCATCATCAATTCAATTCAATTTCTTTATTGTCCCACAAGGGGAAATTAGTTTAGCAGCAGGATATAAATAAACAGAACAATACTATAAAATAATAATGAC